GGGGGAAGGAATACTAAATTAGGAGAGTGACTAAAGGAAGGTTTGATGTCTAACTAAATAAAGGTAGGTCATTTTGTGACCAAAGGAAGGATACCTTTGATGTCAAGCTGGGCATGGATGATGTTGCCCATGACTGAAGTGTTGTGCAGGTTCTTGACTGTCTCCTTCGCCCCCCTTGTGCTGGTGAAAAGCACCTTGGCCAGACCCAGGTGCTTGCCATTTTTTGGATTATACAGAATCTCAATCTCCTCAATGTCGCCATACTTTTTGCACATCTCACACAGAAAGGATTCCTTGATGTTATCATTGAGCCGGGCAAAAGTCACCTCCTTCAGAGGGATCTGGCCCACATAGTACTCATCTAGCTGCAGCAATGACAGAAGGCAAGATAGGATGAAGAAGCTAAAATCAACCTCCAGTCAAGTTACTTACCAATAATTAAGAAAATATTCAACTGGCAGTTGGCAAAAGTTTTAAAGAATGCTGATAAGGACAGACTCAGAAATCACAGTTCTGATGGACTGAACTTTGATCAGCTGGGTCCAGGTCTCTTGCCCTTGAAGTAGATAAAGTAGATATTTCTCCATTTAAATCCCAGATCATATTATTTCAAGTACAATTTATTACCATTTCCCTGGCAGTAATTTCCAAAACTAAAATGGACACTTTTATATACATCCACCCGGGGTGGGCTTCAAATTTTTTAGCAAGGGGCTCTCTACCCTAATGACTGCCTGGGTGGGCGTGGCTAGGTGGTCATGTGGTCAGTTGGGCGTGGCTAGGTGGTCATGTGACTGGGTGTGGCCAACTCAATGCCACTCCCACCCAGTCACATGACCCCCCCCTAGCCACGCCTACCCAGGTTTTGTTGCTCCTGGTGTTTTCTGTGGGAAATGCTCTCTGCCTCCCTCCCTCTCTCTCAAACTTCAATTCCTGAATCATTTTTGCCTTCTCTTTTTCCCATTCTGCTTTTTTTCCAGGAATAAGCTGGAGGGAGGGAAGAAGGAAAAAAGAGAGAAAAGAGGGAGGGGAAGAGAAAAAGGAAGGGAGGAAGGAAGAAAGATGAGAGAAAAGGGGAGAATTCACTTTTCTCTCTCTCCTCCCCCCTTGTGTGGCGGGAGGCGAGGGCTACCTTGAGTGCAAATGTGGCACAAAGGCAAGTACAGGGCCATTTTGCTCCTGCACTAAGGCTCCGGCGACCTGGGCAGGGCCAGTCAGGAGTGGGATTTGGGGGCTCACTGAGCCCAGCAGTGTCTTAACTAGGGGATCGCTTGAGCCCCTGCAAGTCCCCAGCAGCCCACCCCTGAAGCCACCCCTTTGGATATCCTTTATTTACAGCTTCTGAAGGTATCCTGCACTTCTTTGAAAGAATCTTTTTTATTTTTTACAGTTGAAGCACACATTTATTATCCATTGATATTTCACCAAAATGCATCCAAAAGAAATAGAGAAAGTCTTAGAAAATGCAACAACATGGCTTGTCCTCCTGGGACCCACTATGGCTGTTCTTGCTCAGTTTTGAGAATTTTAGTTTTTACAAAAGATCTGTAGCAATCTCTTGAATACTACTTTATTTTTCAGCATCAGTGTCAAAGGAGGTAGATACATATGCTTACTGTTTAAACTGACAGGGCTCAGTTTCCCTATCAACTTACTCTTATCTTCCAACCTTCTTTATCCTGAAATGAAAGGAAATCCCAGAATGCATTTCAAAGAATTACAGGTGTGATACTTGGTGTTGTGCTAATGGATCTGGAAGCTTTAAGAGAACTGGAGAAAAATGATCTATAACCAAGTAAGTGTAGCTTACCTTAAACTTTGGGACAGGGAGAGAAAGATCTCTGGTTTTGGACCATTTCCTATGTCTTGGATCCTGCACAACTTTTACAGGAGTGTGACCTGAATCCTTGAGAAAAGATTAGAAAGTAGTGGTGATTCAAAAGCCTTATTGACACTTCTTGAGCACTTAAGTACTTCTTGATTTTTATCAAATTTAATATAGTTACCCATTTCACAAATCTGACTCTAGGAGATGTACAAATAAAAACAGAATTACAAATAAAACTTTTAAAGTCATTAAACAACTAAAACATAAACATTTGTTTGTGCTGAAGTGCCAAGCTAAAACTGGTATTAAGAATTTAAGAAAAATTAAAGATGCATGTGATTTACATTACTCTATATTCACATTATCTCCCGCCTAATTCAGAAGTAGAATAGTATTTAAAAAATAAATTCAGGCAAAATCAGACAACCATCTAAAACTGAATTATCAGAAAAAGGGGTATGCAAAACGTTTCAACCACAAGTTGTGAAATGTCCCCTGCAGAGTGCAATATAGTCTGTTGTTTTTTAGAAGTGTTTTGAGCTTCAGAGTTAAAACACTTCCAGTGTTTGGCATAAGCCATAAATTTATTTCTGGATTCTTCTCCAACAGTACTTTTTCAACAAAAAGAAAGAAAGAAAGAAAGAAAGAAAGAAAGAAAGAAAGAAAGAAAGAAAGAAAGAAAGAAAGAAAGAAAGAAAGA